ATTGAAGCCAAGTTGGCAGATCATTGATGTAGATGGAAAATAAAACAGGTCCACATACACTACCTTGTGGGACACCAGTCATGACACCAATGAGCTCGGAATAATGGCTACCAAGTTTAACACACTGAGTGCGGTCAGAAAGGTAGCTACGGAATCCATGTAAGGTTGTGGGATGGAAATTGTAATGCTTGAGTTTGTGGAGAAGAATATCATGGTTGACGGAATCAAATGCTTTTGATAGGTCTAACATTAGAAGAGATGACAGTTTCTTATTGTACATGTTTTCGAGAATGTCATCTGTAAGGCGTTGTAGAAGTGTAGTTGTAGAGCGCTTTGGTCTGAATCCAGAGAAGGTGGGATGGAGAATCTTATTTGCTTCCAGGAATTGAAGTATTGTTTGCAGACTTGTTTTTCAAGTACCTTTGATAAGGTTGGTAAAAGTGAGATTGGACGATAATTCTGAAATCCGCTTATCCTTCTTGCCTTGTTTGAATATTGGTGCAATAGTAGCCTTCTTCCACATTGATGGCATAATGCCCTGTCTTATAACATGTTGAAGATATGAGTGAGAGATGGTACAATGGTTGATATGGATAATTTGATTGCTGTAGTATTAATATCACCAGTGGTGGATGACTTATGAGAAGGCAACGAAGACAGTGCATGCAGGACTTCTGTTTCAGTAATAATTGCGAGTTGAAATGAGTTCTCAGGCTTACGTATATGGTCCAGTAGGGGAGATGCAGGTGGAAGGTTTTGTTGTATAGTGACACCAATATTAGCGAAATAGTTATTGAAGTTAGAAGCAACAGGTGATGGATCGTCATATGTAGGCAATGTAGTGACTGAGGATTTCAAAATTTCATTCACCTTTTTCCAGACTTTATGCATAGGCCATACTGTAAATTATTAATTATTCAAAAGTACACAAATGGTAGTTTCTTTCTCTTAATACTGTAGTCTTTATATGATAAACAAAAATCTTTACTAAATCTAGCGATTGTTAGTACTGCGGTAATCAATGTATTCGGAGGTTTAAATGAACAGTTGCAGGTTATATTACTGATGTTGCTACCATCGTACGGTAAATCTAGGAATTCCGCTACAGCGTCCTCCATTACAATTGTTTGTTTGTTATGCACTGGGGTAGAAATGATTAATATCTATTGGTGCCGACATTACAATTGTGTTCGATTCTTTGTATTTTATGGATTTGTATTTGATGATTCAAAATGTGCATGGTCATTACGACATTGCTCAAGTTTCATATATACTTTTGTACTGTAGTTTACCTGGATGGTATAGACAGCATAATAAAGTTTGTGAAGGCTACGAAATTACAGCTATTATCATTCTGAGTAAAGAATTAAGGGTAGCGCCCGCAACGGTAAACTAGAAATGTCCGAGGACACAGAAGTTCAGCTTGAAGGTCAATCTCCAGTTGATGACGACAGAGATCAAGCAGCATGTGTCAATGGGACGCGAACGTGGACTTTAACACAGAAAGGTGGGGAGCTCAGATTCAACATTCTTAGAAGAGATTTGAAAGCAAAGAAATCTGAATTTGGTAAAGCCAAAGGAAATGCCATTATGCAAAAGGGATTTGAAGATACCCGAGCACTTAAACAAAAGCTGTTGGTTGTACAGATAGCATGGCAAGACATACAGCTGTAAGTGAACTTTATGATGAACTTGCTGAATTGTTGGAAAAGCAGGAAGAAATTGCTGCATTCACAAAACAAAAACAACAAGACCTTTTGGAATGGCATACATTTGAGGAAATTCAACATCGTCTTCATATAGAAATGCTAAAACCTGAATCTGTCAAATCAAGTTCACAGAAAACTAAAATTAGTAGCCATAGCAACCGTACAATGAAACTGGAACTTAAGAAACAGGAAGCTGCATTGAGAGTACAGCTAGCGTTTGCACAAAAGGAAAAACAGCTAGAAAGAGAGGAGCTAGAACACAGAAGGAGGATTGAAGAATTGAAGTTACATAAGAAACTTGCTGAAAATCAGGCACAGCAAGAAGTGATATTTGAAGTAGACAGATCTGATGAAGGAAGTCAGAATTTGAGTGGCATACTGCCAGTCAATAAGGATGAAGATACGTGTATGTACAGATTTTTAAATTCTCAACCAGAGATTGATGAACAACACTTACAATCAAATAATACAGAAGCACAAAGGGCTGTGCAAACTACTATTTGTACAGCCAGCAGTGTTGATTACAGCCATGTTCCTTCAGTACACACTCAGAACTGTGCATTAATTTTGTCATCAAAAATGGAAGCAAAGGTAAACAAGAAAGTAGAAGACAAGGATGCCAGGGCCAAGGTGAGCAGTGTTCCAAACCCACTTGCGAATGAAGTCACTGATGCTATGAAACAGTTGGTGGACTCATTTAGGCTTCGAGTCACATTAGAAATTTTCAGTGAAAACCCACTACAGTTTCCACCATGGGAGTCCTCTTTCAGGTCTCTGATTGAGTCAAAGGCCCCTTCAGTGGTTGAAAGATTAAATTTGTTGAGCCAACATCTATCTGGTGAGCCCAAAGCAATGGTTAATAGCTACCTCTTGCTCCAAACTGAAGTGGCATTTGTACAAGCCACAGCAGAGTTGAAGGACAGGTATGATAACAATACAGTGATTACCAAGGCATTCATAGATAAGCTTGCATCATCACCAAAGATCAAACCACGTGGACTTCGAAGATTTTCTGATATGTTAAATGAAGTTGTTGCCTGTCTTAGCAGTGGATGATTTCCAACCTTTGAGCGGTTTGCATTATTTGTGAAAGAAAAGGCAAAAGAAGCAAACATACCTGCTTTTGAACCTGAAGTGGAAGACTGGAAGGAATCTTCTGTTTTCAATAGAGAAAGAAAAAACACCAGCAGGGGAGGGAACCAAGTGAAAGCTGGAACGCTTACCACAAATGTAATCAGTGGTAATGAAGATCTCAAGTGCCCATTTTGCAATGAACAGCATCATATCGATGACTGTGACAAACTGATGAATCTTCACAGAAGAGAACAGAAGCAATTCTTCAAGACAGAAGGTCTGTGCTATGCTTGTGGGATGACTAAAGAACACAACGGAAGAGCATGTACATCCAGAGTTTATTGTAAAAAATGTTCAAAAAAACATTTGACAGCTCTCCACTATGATGAGAACCGTACTACAAGTGTAAGTCATTGCATTTCTGTATGTAACAGAGAGGGACAGCCAACTGACAACTGATTGTACCTGTATGGGTACGAAGCAAAGTTAATCCCAACAGAGAAATTTTACAATATTGTGTTTTAGATCCACAGAGCAATACCTGTTTCATCTTAAAAGAATTTCAGAAACAACTTAGAATCATAGGGCATGATACTGAACTGATACTGTCAACAATGCAAATGAATGGTGCAGTTGTTTCAACTAAGAGGATAAGGGATTTAGAGATCCTTAGTTACGACAGAAAGGCTGTAATACCAGTGCCAACATCCTACACCAGAGACCATGTTCCTGCAGAGAGACACCAAATCAGAGGTTGCAATGAAGTGGAACCATCTACGAAGAATTGCTGATAAGATACCTCCAATCATGCCTCAAGTTAAGGTGGGAATATTAAGGTAACAATGTTCCATCGCCTGTAAGACCTAGAGATATCATAGCTGATGATGAAGATCATCCATATGGCCAAAGATCTCTACTAGGATGGGGAATAGTTGGAACAATTTGTTCAAATTCAGAAAACAATGTTGTGTCAAACCGCATTGTGACCACAGAAACAAAAGCCGTGAATCAGCTTACAGCCATGCCTGCAGCTAAGCCGAAATTAGTTAACAGATTTGTAGTTCAGTCAACTTCAAAGGAAATAGTGAATACACAACAGATTCAACAGATGTTCGAACAGGACTTTATTGAACATAAACACAAACAAGAATCTCTGTCAGTTAATGGTCATAAGTTCATAAGGTGCCTCTGTGACAATATCATCAAGAGAGAGGATGGTCAGTATGAGATGCCCATTCCACTGAAGTACAATAATCTTCGACTTCCAAACAACAAACCATTAGCTGTAAAAAGAACATTACAACTCAAAAGAAGATTGCAAAGAAATCAGAAATACCAGAAAGATTACTTCACATTTATGGAAGATATCCTAACCAACTGTGCTGAAGAAGTTTCTGAAGATCAACAGAATGTAGATGGCAGGGCGAATTATGTACCACATACAGGTGTCTGAAGAGAGCAGCAGATGATGGAGAGAAGGAATTTGGTGAAGAAGCAGCTAGCTTTATCAGAGATGACGTTTATGTAGACGGTGGGTTTAAAGTCAGTTTCAGATGTAAGCAAAGCCATCGCCCTTGTTAACGATAGTATTGATATTTGTGCTAAAGCTGGGTTGAAACTGCACAAGTGGATCTCAAACAAGAGAGAAGTGCTGGATGCAACACCTCCTGAAGCTTGTGCATCAAGTTTGATGGAAGTAAACCTTCAAACAGACCTCTTACTTGTAGAAAGAGCATTAGGAGTGACATGGGTCGTGAAGGGTGACTTTTTCCAATTTAGAATAGTATTGCGCGACTTACCACTTACTCGCAGAGGTATTCTTGCTACAATCTGCTCAGTGTATGATCCTTTAGGTTTTGCAGCTCCAGTAATCCTACATAAATAATGAATCCAAACGTTTTCACACCTATGTCGCCAATAGGGTCCAGCAGATACGAGAGTTGACTTCTCCAGATGCATGGAAGTATGTTAACACCGTCTCAAACCCAAGTGATGACGCTAGCAGAGGAATAACTGCCAAGCAACTTATCGAAGATTCTAACTGGTTAACTGGACCAGATTTTCTATGGAATTATAAGTCCCTATCTGCAACAGAATTGTAATATGAATGTACCAGTGACACAGAAAAAGAGATGAGGAGAGAAATGAAAAGAACTACCACAGTATTGAAGACCAATTCACTCACCACCTGTTCAGATAGTCAATTGATCAACCGCTTTGATCAGTACTCATCATGGGACGCATCTAAACGAGCAGCCGCTAATTGTCAACGTCTTAAGGCAAAAATGTTGAGAGCCACCAAGACCATAAATAGAAGGTTAGATCTTACACATGTCATGTTAAAAACTAATACACTCTTAACTGTACAGGATCTCGCAGAAGGTGAGAAAGCCATAATACGTGAGGTCCAAAGTAGAGCCTTTCAGAAAGAAATACAGATACTGAAGGAATTGAAGCTAGTGGGTAACCCACAATCTAGAAACCAACTAAAGGGACGAAATATACAGTTCAGAAAATCCAGCACTATATATAAACTGAGTCTATTCATAGATGACCAGGGTTTGCTGAGAGTTGGAGGTAGAATACAAAAATCCTGCCAGCCCTTTGAAATTAAACATCCAGTTATCTTACCGAAGAATATAGTGCGACACTTCCATGAACAAATCAATCATATGGGAAGAGACTGTACCCACAACTACATCCGACAGCATGGATATTGGATCATCAGTGGCTCATATACAGTGTCTAAATTGATCAATCAGTGTGTCATGTGTAGGAAGTTCAGAAGAGCACCCCAAACTCAGAAAATGGGAGACCTTCCATGTGACCACATAAAGGAAGCCCTACCATTCACATATTCAGGTGTAGATCTTTTTGGACCATTCTTAATCAAGGAGAGGAGGAGCCAGTTGAAGAGATATGGTGTAGTTTTTGTGTGCATGGCATCCAAGGCAATTCATCTGGAGACTGTCAACTCTCTAGATACCAATTCTGTCATCAATGCGATGAGAAGATTTGTTAGCATCCGTGGACCTATTAGGCAGCTGAGAGCAGATTGTGGCAGTAACATCGTTGGAACACACAATGAAATGATTAAGAGCCTGAAAGAGATTGATCAGAAGAAAATGGCTGATTTCTTGCTAGGTCAGAGGTGTGATTGGATTGAGTTTAAATTCAATGTTCCCAGCAGTAGTCACATGAGAGGAATTTGGGAGAGACAAATAAGAACGGTTCGAAGTATTCTGGAACCCCTCATCTATCAGGCAGGTCCACAGCGAGAAGATGAGTCTTTTCGCACATTTATGGCCAAGGTGCAGAACATCATAAATTCAAGACCAATTACTCTCAACCAGCTGAGTGAATCCTATTCTCCAGAACCTCTGACACCAAACCATTTGTTAATGATGAAGACCAGAATACTTCTTCCTTCACCAGGCAACTTCCAGAAGGCTGATATGTACTCAACACGTAGATGGAGAAGAGTACAGCACTTATCCAATGAATTTTGGAACCGATGGAGAAAAGAATTTCTGCATACGCTACAGCAAAGGCCAAAGTGGACCGCACCACAGTGCAATCTGAAATTGGGTGACATAGTCATTATCAAGAAAGATAATGTACCAGGTAACTTCTGCCGTCTTGGCAGAGTGACAGCAGTGTATCCTGGGAAAGATGGTTTGGTATGCAAATACAGCTTACTCCTGCCAGTTCCATAGTAGACAGACCAATCCACATTATTACAGACAAAGTTTGATATAGATATTATATAGTTTGGCATGAGTGCAAATGTACGATAAATTACCCATTTGCAGAGAGGAGTGTTGTTACCGTCGTACGGTAAATCTAGGAATTCCGCTACAGCGCCCTCCATTACAATTGTTTGTTTGTTATGCACTGGAGTAGAGTTGCTGTCAACGTAAATATGGCAGCCATTTAAAGACCGGGCTCCGTCAGTTTGCCCCGAAATCTAGGTGAATACTTAATTTAAATGTATTTTTCTAGTAGCGATAGAAATGATTAATATCTATTGGTGCCGACATTACAATTGTGTTCGATTCTTTGTATTTTATGGATTTGTATTTGATGATTCAAAATGTGCATGTTCATTACGACGTTGCTCAAGTTTTATATATACTTTTGTACTGTAGTTTACCTGGATGGTATAGACAGCATATAAAGTTTGTGAAGACTACGAAATTACAGCTATTATCATTCTGAGTAAAGAATTAAGGGTAGCGCCCGCAACAACTGATATAAGTCATAGTTCACTTGGTATGTCAGTGATTTGCTTTACAAGAATTGTATCAAACTGAAAAAGGTACTGAAATTGTACAATGCAACAAATACTATATGCCGGTTGTATGAAACTACACATGTAGTATCGCGAATGACTAAATTCACTCTTACCCGGGAATCACGTCGTCTGTACCAACTGCAGGGAGATAACATGTCACTAAACCGCAAATAAACATGGGCTTTATATACCACAGCTATTAAACGCGCCTCTAATCCAACATGATCCCTTAGTTTGTTTGCATATATCATTAATTCTCTAATTTTGGTGGTATATTTTTGGTAAAATGTGATATTTTTGACTTCTTGTTAAAAACGGCAAGTCTGATTGCTTTGATATTACATATATAGGTACTACATGTGATTCTCTCTCAGATTTGTTCATTTTGTGATGATATCTTCAATTATCTAATTTTGATGAATATTTTTGTCATTTTTAGTAAAAAGTGATATTTTTGAATTTTTGTTGAAACAGCAAGTCCGATTGCTATACATACTATACATATTGTTCATTTTCTAATGATATCCTCAGTTCTTTAATTGAAATGTGCCTTGCTAACAGCGGAGCAATCTCAGCCGACAGGCTGCTTGTTTTGCTGTTCTATTTCAAACTTTATTTGACTTGATAAATACATAAAAGACAATGAAGTAAAATGATATAAAATATCAGACTGTCTCGTCTTTAATTAATTGTAGATAGATTGTTAATTAATTTTATACTAACACAGTTATTGTATCACAATGTTCAATGGGAAAATTATGCAAATTAGATACATGGGTGTTTGACATGGGGTCTGGGGAGAACACTGAACTTGGACTGGATTTTATTAATCCTGAGGCCCTGACCTGAATCACTGCACTAACAACCAATGAGACATTTGTCATCTATAACTAGAACTGGGTTTTACATGTATTAATCCTGAGGCCCTGGCCATAATCATTGCACTAATGGGACACAGGTTACCTACATTGTATGACTAGGACTAGGCATTATTATACTCAAGGAACCTGACCTGACTCACTGAACTAACTTCATGTACCAATCAGACTTTTGTTACTTATACTAATACTGGGTATTATTAATCCCTGAGGCTCTGTTCTGACATTGTTAATGAGGACAGAGTTTTATTAATCCCAGAGGACCTGACCTGACTCACTGCACTAATGACCCAATGAGTCATTTGTTACCTATAATTAGGACTGGGT